TTCGAGAGTTTATCTTATAAATTTTCTCACTAATGCGTCAAAAACACTTTTTTTTAAATATTCCTCATCTAGCTGATGTATGGCTTGCGGTTCCAATACCATTGTTTATATTTTGAAATATGTCACAGGAATAGTACACATTCTACCTCGTCTATTTGTGACTAACAGCAAAAATATTATTGCGCCACATTCACGTGTTTATGTGACTTGAAATAGTACTATAACAGTCATTAGATTACAAAAAAGTATGCTATTTAGATAATTAAGCAGTAAAGCGTGCCTACGCACAAGTTTTCAGTAACGTAATTTCAGTTATTGTTTTCGTTTGTTGAAAGGTATTTAGTTTTTTACAAAACTGACACTAATGACACGGTAATAATAGTGGATAATTTAAAAAATCTAGAAACAATAGTGAATGTAATATTAGGTAATATGGAAATTGTAGACTCTCCCTTTCGAAATGTGGCTTTATCGTGGAATCCTGAAGATATCCTATACCGACCGCGTTACTAATCAGGACGTTTTATTAAGAATACCATAATAAAAACAGCCAAAATCGAATACCTCGGTTACATCATGAGGAACCGCAAACGATATGGGTTGCTGCAATTAATTCTTCAAGGAAAAATAGAAGGAAAACGTCCACCATAGGATTTCCTAGCTGAAAAATCTACGTAAGTGGTTCAACACAATAACCAAAAATCTTTTCAGATCAGCAATTTGCAAAATACAGATTGCCATGATGGTCGCCAACATCCGAAACAAATAGGCACTACAAGAAGAAGGAGACTCTCCCTCAACATTATTAGAAGTTCAATAAAATGAGTAAACACAATAACACTAACAAAACTAGAGCGGTAGGAGACCAGCAAATCGAAAGAGTAAAGAAGTACATGTACCTGAAAACTGTATTATCAGAAAAAAACTTATTATTGTGTCCAAGAGAGTTCTTTCCTCCCGGCTCAGCGTTCTCCTTGAATTTTGCCTGTTATTACGAGTTGGGGGAGTAAATATTTCTGATTCGTTAGTAGATATCCAAGGTATGAAGTTTTGTGGACTTTGATGGCGTGGTGTAGCTCTCTTTCTTTGCTTCAACGATCGAGGACCCCTCTATTTGTTATATAGTCAGTTCAGTGAATTTTGAATATTCTCTTGTAAGTCCACAACTCAAATGCCCCTTATCTTGTTGATGGTTGGAATTGTGAGCGTTCATGATTCTGCTCCATATTGCATAGTTGGACAGACATAGCATTGAAGTAGTCGTATCCTAAGTCCTAAGTTGATTGTGTGTCGCATAGAAGTCCTTTCATGTGTATGAATGTGCCTCTTGCTTTTCAATGTTTCATTTAATCTTGAGATTCGGATCCAGTTGGTTGTTTATCCAGAATCACAGGTACTTTATTTTGTTGACTTTTTACCACTCGATGTGATACGCGTTGGAATATTATGAGATCGAGAAAAGGTCGCTACTTTGGTTTTATCACTGTTTATTTTGATATTTAATTATGTTAGAGTAAGATTGAGTCCGTCGACAAGCCTTTGAAGCACTATGCCTAAGTCTGTCATCAAAATTGTAACATCTGCATATATGATGGTTGATATGTTAATTCCAATAACGTTTAAACCTTTGCTGAACATTGCCAGCTTCAATTGGGTCAGTTAGTTCTTCTACTTTTACTTTGATTATGTTGTTCTAGTAGATATTTTCGATCGTATGATTATTCCTAGAGGTATTTCTCTTGCGAACAATAAGTGGATAACGTCCTTTAATTTGACTCTGACAACTGCCTTCTTAAGGTCCACAAAACATAGATATGTCGGTTTGTTGCATTCTAATGATTTCTCTTGCACTTGCCTCATTATAAATATAGCGTCGGTGCATGATCTTTTTTTAGGTAATGGAATGAAGATAAATTCCAATCATTCTTATGGGATCTCTCCCGTTTGATGAAGGCCATTGGAGACAATATAGATATCTCTGTTTCATTAAACAACATACTACTTGAGCATGGAGACAGTCGTCAACGTAACCAAATTTTCTTGTTCTGGTTCCCATCATGTCCGCAATGTACAGGCTAAAGAGTAGAGGAGCTAGAACAGATCGCTGAGGTAGGTCATTCTTCAGTTTTCTTGGTGTGCTGATGTCGGTTCCCATTACGACTTGGATCATTCGGTCGTTCGACCTATTAGGTCTTTGAATGTGACTGAAGCTTTAAGTTTGCTCTGAAATAAAGCTGGGAAGTGAAAGCATTTGATCTCTTTGGCCGGAAGCCTGCCTGTTTAAGTGAGATTGTTTTAAGTAGTTCTGTGCTGATTCTGTGTAGATGAGTAGTTCTAGTAACTTAAATGTCGCTGATAGTAGGGACATTGGCCTTTAATTTTTAAGGGTTGTCATCATTTGGTTTTCCTAGTTTTAGTATGGCAATTATTTTCGAGCTTTAAGTTGTTGTAGTATCTTCGTGATATCTGTGAAAAAGTAGGCCATCTAATTTCTTGAATATTTTCTGCTATTTATTATCAATTCGGACTAGATATTGTCAAAACCTGAAGCTTCACTTGTTTCTGAGCTATTATGACTTATTCGCATGTGAAGGGGCTGGACTATTTGGTTTCTCTGGCTTTCGATTTTAGAACTTTAAGCTTTTAATTCACTTTCACAATTCATTGCCAGCTTCAATTGGGTCAGTTAGTTCTTCTACTTTTACTTTTATTGTGTTGTTCTAGTAGATATTTTCGATCGTATGATTATTCCTAGAGGTATCTCTCTTGCGAACAATAAGTGAATAACGTCCTTTAATTTGACTCTGTCAATTGCCTTCTTAAGGTCCACAAAGCATAGATATGCCGGTTTGTTGCATTCTAATGATTTCTCTTGCACTTGCCTCATTATAAATATAGCGTCGGTGCATAATCTTCCTAAAACCGTGTTCTTCTTCTAGTGGTATAATTTTACTCAACTCATTTGTTATCACTTTGATTGTTAATTTTAGTGTTGTGTTTAATAAATTAATTCATCTGTAATTCTAGGGGTCCGATTTGTCTCCCTTTTTAAAGAGAGGTATCAGGATGTTTGATGTCCATTCTTGTGGTATTCCGTTTCAATTATTGTTTAGATTAGTTCTAATAGTTATTTGGTGATATATGGTCCCCCGTACTTTAGACGTTTATTCGATATTCTGTCATCTCTTGGCGTATTTCCATTTTTTAATTTCCCTAATACCTCCTCTACTTCTCCCTCCTCAATGTTTATTTCTTCGTTTGTCGTCACTTCTGATGTTGGTGGTTCATTACCACCTTTAGGAAATAGGGATCTCAAATAGCCTGCCCATGTTTTTTTTTAATGTGTTTCGTTTTTACTAGTCCATTCATCTCTTTTGTGTCCTCTGATCATTCTCCATATTTCTTTTTGTGTTCCGTAGAAGTCGTGTTCCATCTGGTTTGGGAAGCTCTGCCAATGTTCCCTTTTTATTTGTCTCACTAAAAAGTATTTGTTTCATTTCTGACTCATTTATAGTGGTTGTGTACCTGTTGAGTATGTTGATTTCTGTATTGTAAAAAGACTTTCTTCTTTTCTTCATATTTTGTCTTCACTTCCTACTTGTATTTTTAGTCCTTCGACTCTATGGTCGCTACCTACATCTATTGAGTTGGATATAACAGAATCTATCATAACCACGTGTTTTATTGAATATATATTTGTATTGGTCTTCGTTCTCAAAAACGTGCTGTTTATTCTAAGTTCGTTATTCGTGTAGAAGTTTATCATCAATTCTCCATCTCCGTTTTTAACCATCTCGTTTGATTGATAGATACTATGGTGTTTGGGTCAATTGTTCTTTTGTTCCTTGTTATGGGAGTTCCACTTATTAATTTTCTCAGTAGTGTACATGCTTCTCTGCTTGATATTTGAAAGTTCAGACTTTCTAGCACTTCGTTCATTTTTATTGTCTCGCTACGTCAGGGTATAAAGCAGTTTGTCTGCTATTTCTTGATTACCATTTTCCAAGAAAGATTTGGATAGTTATTCGCTCTTATCGGACTAGCCAGGAATGTATTCTCTTCGATAGCGTCTCGGTGTATAGATAAGAACAACAGAACAACGACAGAAAAGTATTGAGATGCGGTGTTAGTGCCGGACATTAAAGATGGGTCGATAAAGTCACAAATATGTCACCGATACGCCTTATAGAGAGGAACCAGAAGTTCTATCCACTCACTCGAAGAAAGCTCGAATATTTCGGTAACTTTACGAGAGAATAAAAATACATAGTACATCATAATTCAATCAATTAATCCGGGTCGTAGACCAACAACATAGAAAACATTTAATGATTTTTGTATAGGATGCCTTTGCTTTCGAATGGGACAAATTGCTAAAATGAAACAAAAAAAATAATGTATTAAGAGATCAAAAAGTAGCTCTGCGTATAGTGTGTCACATACTTTAATGGTATTTATCTAGTTGAAATGTCGTTTACATACCCTAAAATTTGATTGTATAGGTTTAATCTCGAACCTCGTCGTTATATTAAAAATCGTAGTCAGAATATGCAAATAAATACCTAAATATTTATGCTGTCTGTAGTTTCTGTTTTCCACTTGCTTGCAATGCATATCGTTATTATTAGTAATTTTAATGAGTTTATTTCAGGTATTTCTGCAGCAAATAACAGTTGATTTTAAAATGATCATATAAACAAATATGTCTAGAACGTTTAAAAGCATCATGTGTCAGTTTTAACTTGACTTTTACCGATTTTTGAAATAACTGATAACATTTAATTTTATATAAAAATATTTCATCGAACTACAAACAATATAAGGCAGATAATGCTTCAATTTAAAAAGTTTACTGAATAGAGAAAGAACCTAGTTCACACTCTACTAACCATATTCATATAATATATAAAATATACATATAAAATAATTCAAATCTTAAATCATAAAAAAAGTATTGTCGCTCTTATTAAGAATTATATTGATAATTTATAAAACATTACCTATTAGCCTCAAAGTTATAATACATTGCGGCATCGTCCAAGTTATATCATAACTTTCTGTACTGGTGTAAAAGTAACCTAAAAATGTTTTAAAGTTAAAAGCAAAAAAATATATAGATAGTAACAGCGATACAATTAAATTCTAACTAAGTGGCGGAAATTAAAAATAAGTGTATGTTACAGTTATTCCATGGTCTGCGCTACAAAGCATTTGTTGAAATTATTCGCCACTTGATTAGAATTTGTACCTACATGATTGCAAGATGTTTTGGTCAATTGCCACAATTATTTAAAGATCTGGATAGTTATTATATAAATGCAATAATTTTGACTTTAAGAAATGTTATATATGATGATACATAAATCAGCCCGTTCGGCTTAAGTTGCACCAATTCGCACCTGAAAGAGTAAACCGAAAAGTATAGAAATACCACAGCAACCTAAGAGAATTGCAAATATATGAATATTTTTTTTGTATTATCGAAGTGTCATAGAATCAGAAACAATGAACTTATGCCGCCATAAATTCTATAATTTCTATAAATATATCCTAACCCATACCCTGACATTTAGTTATTTCAATCTGGCTAAAACGACATCAGCGGAGTGATATGAAATATTTTTAATGGATTTTATTTTTAGAATATGCCTGATAAACCATTCAATTCTCAAGTATAATTGTCAAATATGTTGAAGTATTTAGAATTAGAAAAAAATAATTGAAGGCCTTTGACGCCATTGTCATCTGTTCAACAAGTAATATATTGAAATATATGTATGTAATAACTGCTGCATTAAAAATATCACAACGGACAGTATGTATAGTTCTAAAAAGGAAAGAAAATAATCATATTCTTTCGAAGCCAGGCAAAAGTAGGCTTCGTCTAAAAATAAGACAACGGATGTATCTGAGGGATTAAGAATGGCAGTACAGGATAAAAAAATGAATTCCCAATTTAGAAGAGTCATCATTAATTGTTATGAATAATGCTCCATATCACAGTGTTCTTTTAGAAAAGAAACCTTTCACTGTTTCAACTAGAATGCATAATTATTATCTGGTTGACAACATACAACATCAACTATGGTGCAAAACTCACAAAACTTGAATTATTACAAATTTTAAAAATGAACAGAAAAGAGAATGTGTATATAATTGTCGAGTTACTAACGGAACCCGGCCATGAAGTGATGAGATTTCCTCCTTATCATTGCGATTTCAACGCTATTGAATTAATTTCGACAATCTTCAAGACATATTATAATAAGTATATTGGTAGAGATAAACATTCTGATAGTGAAAGTGTTATAAACATATGCAAAGAGGCTCTAAACCAATGAAACACAAAAATTTGGGAAAAATGTGTGTTGACATTAACGTTCAACCAATGATAATAGACAATGGTAATATGAGTAGCTCAGATTCTAACAGTGAAGAAATTATAAATTTATAACTGTATAAGATACTTGAATAAATATTGAAAATAAATTGTTTTTTACCCAGTTGAAAAGTTGTTCAACTTTTCAATTTATTATACATAGGTTTCTTTATTTGAATTTTGTTATTGTGTTCATTTTTGTAGTACATTTTTTCAATTTAGTTTGATAACATATGTAACCTGCATCTAGTTTTTTTATGTTTATTGCAGTTTTAGTCCATAAATCCATAAATATTTGAATCCATAAATCTTCTAACGGTAGTAAAAAGAAAGTCATGAATTAATTCTGAAAACCATGGTTAACACTGAATAAACAGATCAAGATGATGGAGGCCTGAGGTAGATTTCTATTCAGTTTTTTAAATAATAACTCATCTATTTGCTTATATGCAATGAAAACAGTTTTATTTCTGATTACTACGGTTTAAATATTTATTTACTGTAGATGTTATTAGACAATCTGTAGGTGTATATCCCGATTTCAAAATCCAAAACGAAATAAAAAAAAGTATAAAAATATTGTAACATTGTTGAGGGGGTAATATGTAACTCAGAAGGCAGTGTTGACATGTCACCTCTAGGTCACATATACTTGTTTAGTATATTTATAAACGTTATAAATTGTTTTTAGCCATTTTTATTGACGTTCTACCTATTGTATACCACATTTATGCGGCCTCAACTGGTGTAGGCTTAAGGCCGTATGACACTATGCATTTGCTTGTATCATTTCTTATATCGTTTCCGATATAACAAAAAAATGGATAATGTCTTACAAGCGTATAGGTTCTTATATCAGAAACGATACAAGAATTTGTGTCTGCTGCATTTTCTTGTACAAGAAATGCGCCAATTTGTGTGCAAAGCCGCAAAAACGTAAAACGTCTGTCATATATATTCGGCTGGAGGAGAACTTTGATATACAAATTATACAATTAGACCAAGCAGATATCAGAGAAAAGTGCCCACCAACAATAACCATTATTAGAACATCAGTAGCCAAATTGAGAAACAATATATCACAGAGATTGGATCAAACAGCATCGGAACTACTGAAAGTAGGAGATGTTTTACTAAAAACAATAAACACCCCTTCTAAAAATTCGTGATGAGTTTAAAGATTATTTTATAACACCAAATAAGAGAGTAGAATTTCAAGAGCATGCCATTCAAACACATAATTAAAAAAAAACAAATAAATTAATACAACCAAATTATTTATTATTTCTGTCTTCCATTACAGCCTGTTGAATATCTTCAAAAATTGTGGTTTCCAATTTAGTTTTAATATTGGCATTGACATATTGACATTTTATTGCTTTCATTTTTGCACCACAGTATTTTAAAAAATAATCAGTAGCATATGGCTTGGGGTCCTCAGGTACCGCAGTTCTATTTTTATAGGTGTCAAAATTTCGACCAATCATGTGCCAAATCACATATAATTTCCGGTAAAAGAACTTGCATAGTGTCATACAAGGCAAAAATGTACGTATTGTTCTGAAGCTATTTTATTGTGGCATTTTAAATTAATTACTATTTAACTGGGAATAAACCACAATTAAAGATAAAAATACGTTTATTCACGTTTCAATTTCCACTTCGGAAATCGTTTTCAAAATACAAACAGTGTTATTACAGTGTTTGTATTTTGAGAACGATTTCCGAAGTGGAAATTGAAACGTCAATAAACATATTTTTATCTTTAATTGTGGGCTATTCCCAGTTAAATAGTAATTAAAAATGTACGTGCAAGAAACGATACAAGAAAACATAAATAACTTTCTATATCAGAAACGATATAAGAAATGATACAAGAAAATGCATAGTGTCATACGGCCTTTAATCCTTAGACGAAATAATTTCTATTTACTGTATGAAATAATAAAATGTGTACTATAAAATGAATTGCTGGGGACAAAATTGCTTTAACAGGCAATACTAATCTATGCACCACTGCGTCAGCACTTGTTTGCTGATGTGTGATGCTAGTATATCTTGATGCATTGTCATACATGGTCCATTTTGGCTTGAGACCTTTAACTGATTATAATTGTTTTGATTGCACCAACATCTTACAATAATCTATTATTAGTCTTTAACTTACCAATAAGAAGATATCCTATGTTAAAAAGAAATACAATTGCAACGCTAAGGCTCGTTCCTTTAAGAATCGATAGTGTGCAATATGTAAAAAAGGCTGCCAAAACACTATGAAAAATAGCACCTCCATAATTCCAGTAGCCTAATAGGAATCCTGACGTTATGAAAAATAGATGGTGTAGACTTCGTTCTTTATTGTACAAATATTTTCTGTGAATTAAAGCTAGAGGATAACCTAAAAAAAATGTTTAAAAACATTGTTTATTAGAAAACTAAAAAATAGAACTATAAAATTTTAAAACTAAATCATCTAAACGCTTTCTCTGCTGTGAATGTCTATAGTTGTAAAAATATTTTATACAGCCTACTGTTCATGACGAGCATTTTAAAATGAATTTTTAACTGATAGTACTATCACTGGTGTAATAAGCTATTTAAGGAAATATTTTCAAAGGCTATTGGTCAAATTTTGATCAAACCATATATTATATCACTGAATATATTTGTCAGTAGCTGTGTAAAAGTTTGTGACAGGCGACAAATTCATCAATCCTCTGAATAATTGTGATTCCTACTTATTTCCGGTTATCTTTAATAAATAACTGGTCTAGTTTATTCTGCTTTGAAAGATAAAGACAAGTTCATTTTTGCTAAGCATATACAATGCAGATTTTATTTTGCATCTTTTGATAGTGAAAACAGCGAGAACAATAGTTTGAGACATCAGTGAAGACCGCAACCCAAAAATTGAGATGATTAATTGAATAATTTAAAGTGAAAATGAAATAGATGAAGCAGCTGTTTCTTTTTTTTATTATTAAATAGATGGGATCCCCCATTAGAAAAAATAACATTATATTTTTTAATAAAATTTATCTTATAACTTTTATTGCGAGAAATAGGCAAAGAATGTGAAATAATAAACACAATAAAAATAAGAAAGTTACAATATCTGGGACACGTAATGAGGGGACAGCGATATGAACTGCTAAGGCTGATAATACAGTTTAAGATAAAAGGAGGAAGGAGTATAGGAAGAAGGAGAGTGTCATGGTTGAAGAATTTAAGAGGCTGGTTTAAATACAGTTCTATAGAACTCTTTAGAGCAGCAGTAGATAAAGTAAAGATAGTGATGATGATATCCAACCTCTGATTGGGAGACAGCACTCAAAGAAGAATCTGACAACTACACTCTAAAATACAATATTTGGAAATAATGCTGGAGTTTACTATAAATCATGGTTTTAAATTAAAAGGATCTACATCACAGTGACTATTTAAAAATCTTATGGCTGTGTCAAATGGATAATTGCACACATAATTGGTAACATGAAAATTTATATGAAAAAGCTCAAAAGATATTAGTCTATGCTGTGGAATATCGAAGCTTATTTTACTTAAAAGTTCCAGACATTGAATTAAGTTATTTAATAATTTATAAATAAATACAGAATCAAACTGAATTTGTCTGTTATAAACTGTTGTTACCTACAATTACTTTTTTGTTTATATTTCCAACTGGAATTCCCATTTTGTAACCACAATACCTAAGAAACTTATTCTGAACTTTTTCAATGGAATTGATATACTGGCCATACATAGGAGACCAGACTACTGTGTCATATCCTAGTTGAGAGCGTACAAGAGAACAATACACAAGTTTCATTACATCAATTGGGAACTCACTACAGTTTGTTAATGTAAACCCAAGAAGTTTTTAATGTAATCTGTGAAATATGGTCATTGAAATTAATGCTTTTATTAAAAGTGATGCCCAGGTCTCTAACTTGATTTTTATATTTTAAGTTAACATTATTCATAAGATAGTTTGAGTCATATTGTTTATTCCCCCTAAAAAAAACTGATATAAAAGCATTTATCGATAATACTAATAGCCCAAGTATTATGGATGTTACTTGAAAAACTCCTCAACAAAACTTTGTTTCCAAAAAACAATTTCCTCTGCAAATACAGGGCACACCTGTATTAGATTTGGATTGATCAGACACAGAGTTTGAACATCGAACATTGGACATCTCTCTGAAAGTATATATCAAGAGTTTATTAATCCACATAGCTGATTGTACAAATCAAACAACTAGCTCTCATAAAGGAAAAAAAATAATAGAAACAGACATGTACGAAATAATGCTTGTACTGGGCTGTACATTGGTAATCAGCAACAATCATGGGAGAGACACTAAATGACAAAAGTTGTGGATTATCTACCAATAATTAATACATAAAAAAATTCCTCTTCTTACATATATTTATAGCTGGCAGAACAAAATGATAAAAAAAGGTAGACAAAAAACTACTTTTAACAAAAAATGTATTATTACAAAATGGAGTACAAGATAAAAGCATCAAAAAAATGTGAATAATGGGGAAGATCAGCTACTCCCAAAAGGATATTCAAGAAAAAGATGCCACAACTGTAACCACAATAATTTTGAGACCAGATCAAATCAATTTGCATAGTATGTAATTAACTTCTATGTATTCTTGCAATTTCATTCATAATAAATATAATTCAAATTTATCATATTCTTTGTCACCCGAATTTATCATATTCTTTAAATATACCGCTCTATTGCACATGAGGTTGGTAACTGCCTTGCTGTTCTGTCATATTTTGACCTCACAGCCACTGTCTTTTCTCGTTTTTTGCATAGGTGTTAAACCTGTTGCTTTCATTTATCTTCAGCACCTAATAAGCTAAAGACTGATAACTTCATTTTACTTTTAAATATTATATTTCAATCTTAATTTATTAATAATGTTACCTAGGGTCAGAATTAAATTTAACTAATAATATACTGTTGGAAGTGCATCTTAAGATCTTTCTAGTTCTTTACATATTAATTTTAATGTTTTTTACTTAATTTTTTTACATAAACTTTTTATATACATGTACATTTACCACATGTTCTTTTGTTGTGCTAAGTTTGTTAATTTGTAAACTGTATCTAGTTTCAATTAATATCCATTAGCTGTATTCCTTAGTGGTAAATATATTTCATAATAGCTGTAAAAAAGTACATACTTAAAGCAAGTTAAAGCAAATGTGTGAAAAAAATACATAAAAAAATAAATAAACACACTTCAAATAGTTGAAAACAGTAATATATCCCTAATAAGTAATAACCACTAGGGAAATGTACTACTAGGGAAAATATATTTTATTATTACTGTTGCCAATTAAGTATTTGAAGCGTGTTTATCTGGTTTTTTATTTTTTATTATTTTTTATTTTTTCATACATTAGCTTCCACTACCTTTAAGTTACTTACTTCTTTACTGGTATTATATATTTGTTCATGTATTTTATTATTAAATTTTATGAAAAAAAGTTAGTTTTCTTGAAAATTATAGTATCAGCTTCTCTAAGCTGGTGTATTTAGTTCTACTTGATTTTTTTAATTGAGGTCTCACTATTTTTTAGAATTGTATTAACATTCACTATACTTTCTCTCTTCTGACAAGCTCTATATCCTTTTGTTATATCCTTTTCATATTTTTATTAGAAGGTAATGTATTATAAGATTTTCATGTGAGTTTGTTTTGAACTACAAAGCACATACCTTCAATATTGATCTAAGAATATAAATAACAACTAAATAAGTTCATGAGTGTAAGATGATTTATAGTACCTATGTAAGATAAATCAGGGAATGCTGATTAGCCTTTTATCTTAGATAAAAATATTGATAATTCAACATCCAAGTTATATTTTTTAATTCGTAGATTACAACAACTGCTGAATGAGTAGTAGAAGTAAAGCACACAAAAATATAATATTTTCACTCTATGACTGCATGACAAATCAAATTTTATCAACAAGCAAATAACAAACTGATCAAAAACATATTGACACTTATATTTTAAATAATTACAAAGGCCATTTATGTAATTACTTGTATTCTTAGAAAGAAATGTACATTGGATATTCAAAAATAGAATATGATGTAAAGGTTAGAGATCCATGTAATGTAAGTTTCATTAAAGCTCATTTTCAAAGTCATCAATTAAAATGTTAAAATATGTGAACCGCATGACGGTTCAATATTAATTGTTTATTGGACGTTAATAGAAACTTTACTTTTCTAATTTAATAGTAGTAATTAGAGTAATTCAAACTCACCAGCTACAAGAGTTAATAATAATTTTAAAGCAGGTTCTGTAGTGCCTACTAGAGCACTTAACCCTGAAAGAATACCTCCAGATCTTTCCATTTTAAGACACTGTTAACAATAGGAGTACTTAATTCACTACCATTTAGAATACGACCTCATTTCAAAAATTTTACAGAAGTGTGTTACCATAGAATTGGCATTCGCTGGAATTGAATTCAGAAAACAGAAATTGACAGTGACAGTACAGTCTCGTATTCCTATATTTTGACACTTTGTGTAAATACTGCGCACTTTTCTAGTGTTGCAAGTTGCCTGCCTGCACACTCACAGTGAAAGAATTTTTTAAAACAATTTGCTTGAGCGCATGCATCGAGCAATAAGACAAAAGAGGGAATCTAATCGTTATAAAAAGGAGACCAAAAAAGTGGCCTCTGATGGCGGACACATCCGGAAATGCAAAGGCGCCAAATTTAAATTTTTCGACACTTATCAACAGTAGCTATATAATATTTTTCAAAATGTGTCTTAGACGAGAAAGTTTTAATTAATTATTAATGATAAGAGTCTAAAATGCGACACAATTGTTAAAAAACTTCAATATAAATAAGATTTCATGTGACATTTGGGACAAACAATAACATAACCCAACTAAATTTGATGTCAAACAAGGAGAGAGACTCTCTATCCTTGTCTAAAGTGGCCTCTCAAGATGGCACTTCCTGTCTATCAATATGTTTACCCCTTCTACCTTTACATTCCCTCTTTTGTCTTATTGCTCGATGAGCGCATGATACAATGAATAACAAGATAGGATCTACGAGAGCTTAATTTCCCGACTCAGCACCCCCCACTACTGTTTATATGTGCACGGATTTAACTAATGGCGGGAAGTTTGAAATATATGGTATCAATTAGGACTGGTGCGGTAGTTCGAACGCTAATCAAAACTTGAATTTGCAAATACATCAAAGCTGTTGTCAAAATTGCTTATTATTATTATTGATTTGTAAATAAAAACATGAAATTAACATCAGAAAGAGTTTAATTATGCTTTATTTTAAATTAAAAAGCAAAATCATACAATTGAATAAATCAGTCAACATAACCTCAAAATGTTTTCTATTTGATTTTAATTAAATATTTGAGTTTTAATTAGCGTTCGAACAATCGGTCTTTATTGTATTAAACCTTTTTTTTTTATTCCTATACATACTTTGGTAACACAATCTATATCTATATTTTTTACAGAATTAATTATAAATACTAATTTAATTTTTTAATAATAATTTTTATTTAGAAAACTGTAAATAATAACACCTGCTACATTTAATCATTTCATTATTATTTTAGTTTGTAAAAAAACTTAAAAAAATTTCCAATATAATAATGATTGGTATAATATACTTCGTTTACGCTTGTACAGAAATGAGGTAAATAGTCATATTTTTTAGAAGAAAATATTACAATGTATAGACTGTGTTTATAGTCTTGCGATTTTATTTTTAAGTGGTGTTGTCAGCAATAACGGTATTTGTAGAATAGTGGATGATCGAATTTGGTTCCTTTCTCAAATACAGGCCATTGAAGTTTCCAAAAATTTAGAGTTTTTTGTAATATCTCTTTAGCGCATTAGAATATTCAAATGAAATTTGCTGTACATGACATATAGATTGAATGGCCACTACATGTATAAGAACTGTGTAATAATCTAAATAAGTTACATAGATTTGGGATATGTCGTTTATAATTTAAAGAAAAATTTCAGTACGCCTCTGTAATATGCAATTTCCAAAACCATTTTTTGTAAGTAAATTCTATTTAAAACAACCTTTCGAATTTTCTTTATATCTCTTATAACAAAACTTGTAGTAGCTGTACAATCAATCCATAAATAATGCTTACCAAATTTCATAAGAATATTCTTGTGTTATTAGATGACATACCATTATTTTTTGATGAACTATTACCTATAAAAAAAATCACAAGACTGTAAACACCCTGTATAATATACAGGGAATACAATGTATATGTACCACAACATTTTACAGTTGTTTCCAATTTAGGGAAAGGTGAAATAAATACAAGATGCATGTAGTATATAACAATTAAGTATTTTAATTTTTATTTAAATAGTACAGTCAGTGTACTATTTATTTATTTAATACACGGGATAACCCCATTAACAGTTTAAATTACAATATACAATATCACAGTTAGGATTCAAAACTTGATATTGCTATATAAAATCAATATTAAAAAGTTTAAAAAAATGAGACTAAAAATCTTACATACTAAAAAACAAACAAAGTATAACAAGAACAAAATTTAACTGAGTTATATTGAAAATATCAAAATCGCGATCATTTAATAGCCCCTTGTATCTATTCCATGGGTTGTGAATACCATAGGTTGTTCTGTGGAAAGGAATATTGAAAACATTGTGGTACCGTAGAGCTTGATGGGGAACATTAAAGTTAATCTGGCTTAACAGGTTTGGACAATCAATAAATCCATGTATGATCTTATATATAAATATAGCTCCTGACATGTCACGACGGTTCTTGAGTGAGGGTAAAGATAATTGTTGTTCAGTACAGAAATAATCATGATTTTTATGCTTGTATTGCTTATTTAATACTTGCTTTCCATCACGAGCTACAAAGAAAAAAAATTAAATTATAAATAATTATATAGTATCCATTGATTGTTTCAAAACAATGAATTCTTAAACAAAAAAAAATTAAATTAGGAAATGTCCATTACTATATATTTTTAATTATATTTTATTAAGTACATAGAAATATTCTACAATATTTTAACAAAATATATCCTACTAAATTAAATATTAAAATAAAACTTACCATCCATATTTGTAAAATTAATTGTTTGACTTTCAAACTTTAAAATATGAACATTTTCCAAATGATTAATTAAAAATTTTCCTTGCTGAAAGGAATTATCACAATCAAGCTCCAAACATTTAAAACCCCATACATTTTTAGCATAAAATATGCGTTCAATCTGTTTAAAATGAATTTGTGTGACGTGTCTATTTAAAGTAAATTGTCTTGAAAACATTTTATCACAATATTTACACGTTACAGGCATTTATATAAAAAAATAATAATAAGACACCAAATATAAACTTAAGAAATCAAATAAAGTTAGGTTAAGTCCAAACAAATTCATAAATGTCAAACTGTCAAATTCAAACTGTTCCATTCCCAAAACTTAGGTGGTGGGGGGTGCCTAGTCGGGAAATTAAGCTCTCGTATAGGATCTTCCCGTAACTCAAAATCGGTCGGGTTCGCGCATGCCGTCATTGGAGACTAGAATTTGAATTCTTGTTAAAGTTAAATGAGATTTGTATGCATTCTGTGATGTAATTACTAGACGAAAATAAGTTAAGAGGTCTAATAATTACAATAATCGTACACATAAGGATATCTCCAAACTATTTATTCAAGATTACTTATTGATATATACAAAAACTGACATTTCGAACGTGCAAGTCTCCAATGACGTCACAAAAACATGCGCAATATCTTATCTTATAGTCATAGTATCATGCTTGAGCGTGCTAGTACTGTGACATGGTTCTCACTGAATATTTTTTTATAGATGATTGATAAACAATCATTAATTATTGTACAATTAATTATTATAATAAAAAAAAAATTCAAAAAAATTTCGAAAACAGTTTTCAAAAAAATTCTCAAATAGAATTGGGAAAATTTATTTGTAACATAATAGAATTGGGAAAATTTATTTGTAACATAAACATAATAGTATATTGCATAACGAGAGTTGTATACTCCATTCGCTTAGCTCGGGCTTATTTTGACAGATTCATTGTCGGAAAACGAGAGGCTAATTACCACCTTGGATTCCATCTTCTGATTGGACGACTGGATGACATTTTTGACACCAGTTATTGAGGTTAGGTATTCAGTATTTTTGCGTGTTTTGTTTATTCTTGTCTTATAATCTGTGTGTTTATTGTTGTTGTTGTGAATGTGAACCTCCTGTTAAAAATATTTACTCAATACTTCATTTTGGTTTATTTTGTGTTTTTTTTAAATTATATTAAAAATGTCTAATGTGTTTCATTTGTAAGAAACCTTATTCAACAATATGTGAGATAAACAATTTCCATATTTTACATACTGACACCTACCAGACACATAACTACTTTTATCCACTCATTTTTTTACCTTCATACCATATCCTTGTAATTTAGCAATAAGCAGATCATGGTTAACTCTGTGGAAGACTTTAGAGAGGTCTGTGTCGATAGCATCAACTGGAGACCCTTATGTTCGATTGAATTAGCAATAAAATTAGTATACAGTATTAAGTTTGTGCATGTAAACTTTCCTTCGGCAAAGCCATGTTGTTAACCTGAATTTTATAATACCTATATAGTCATATATAGATTTTTAATATAATGTAATTTAGTGATATAATTTTACAATCAATATATTCCTATAATGATAACATGTAATAAATAAAAATAAATATAATATAAACATAATTTATTTATTTCATCATTTTTTAATATATAAGGTTTAACCTAAAACACTTAAATAAAATATTCTACATTACTGAGATAGAGTGTTACACATATACACAAATACATAATCTTATTGTTTGGCTCATTTCACATGAATGTCTTTAATTCCCTAGATTTTTATTTTTGGGGACATATGAAGACCCTATCAACCAAACATATTTCTAAAGGTTAGGAGAAAATTTTTCTGATATAATTCAAAAATGTTTTGAAATGAAAGGAGGCGACTTTGACAATGTATTAAATTGATTTATTGTTACAGTAGTCTAAATAAATATTTTTTTTCAATGGTATTGTCTTTTGTATCCAATCTTTTTATTAACAAGCTCGAGATCTGAAAATTTACCAAGGAAAATTGTTTTAGTATAATAAAAATTATAATTATGATTTTTTATGAACTCAAACATCAAAAATCATTTGAAATGGAATTTACTAAATGTATAAATTTATTGGTGACTAGTTATGACTAGTGGAAAATGGAATATAGCAATAAAATAAGATTATGTATTTTAAACATATCCTCTAACACAAATACATAACTTGAAAACTACTTACTCTTTTAAACATAAATAATCAAAAAACATGATGTAATGATTATTACAACAGCAGCATAG